AAGTATTTTGTGACATCCGTCGATTTAATCAACCATGTTGGGTGAGAACGTGAGACAGCCTACATTCTTCACATATTGCCAGAGGTTCTCAACCATTATATCGCCAGAACATATGGAGAGAATTGGGATCAGATTTTTAATGAACAGCTATAATTGTAGTTCTTATTTCATTTAGTATATTTCTCATTGAAAGAGCGTTTCAATTAAATAATACCATATAAATTTAATCGTTAAAGCTGTACCTAATGGTAATGAATAAAAAAAAATAATTATCTAAATTTATGTTAAAAGAATCCTTTTCTATTCACTGTATCATTATTTATTATCCAGATGAACAATATAGATTTCATACAAATGTTCAAAAGAATTAATCGGTATACGAAAAGGAATTTATTGAAATGTGTGTATTCATTTTGATAAATACTTCTTTAATCATACATATATCAGTATAGTTATTATTTATAACTGCAAGAGAACTCATAGATTGATACGTATGTATTGGTATTATATATACATATATATACCTAGCGGTTATTAAATATTATTTTATTTTCATGATTACGCAATCTAGTGTCCAGTTTTTTTCGTTTTTTTACGGCAGGACATATTTTTTAATGAAAAAGGATGAAACCGCCGGTTGTTGGGTGCTTGTGCGAAGTGAGGGTCGTTGTTTTGGCGGCGTGGGACTGATCGATAGCGGATATCGACTGCATTGCTGTTGGGTTGCGAACGGATCACAGGAGGAGGTCAGGGGTGGCACAAGCTAGAAATGGACGGTAGAGAGGGAAACCTGGATGAATCGTGGAGTGGCAGAATGAGGGTTGAAATAGAGTAGGGGGAGGTGGAGAAAAGGACGGAGTCGCGACCGAGTGGCTTTCTCATTTCACAGCCGAGGAAGACTTCCGCCGGAAGAAGAACTCAACTTCCACGAGAGACCGAGAATCTACTTTGAACCATTATTGGCTGCTCCCCAAATCCTGTGTTGTAAAAGTTACCCGCGACGTTTCTTTGAGCTTTCTCATTTTTTACGCCTAAGAAATAACCAAATTTCGAGACATACTTCTTCAATGCTGAAAAAAACAATAAAATGATAAACGCTATTGATATCAGAATTAACATTTTCAAATGTATTGTAATAAATTTCAGTATTATTTGTTATGCTTTATTGAGAAATTGTACCAATCCTGTAAACAACAAGAATATAGTTGCGCAGAGAGGTTTACATCCCAGCGGAAAAAAATTGAAGCTTACAGCTAAAAGACTTTAGTTATCGACTACAGATATTTTTATCGTACAGTGGGTACCAAAAATTATCACTCAGAATGTTATTGTAAATTAATGCTATTAGACTATAAATTATTCAGACTACTTGCTATTGCTCACTAGTGTATGTTTTAGTTGATTTTGTTCAACCAATCTGTGCAATAGAAATTTGTTGCGACTCTTTTGAACAGAGCACGTACAATTCTTTCCTGGGGTGATTAACTCACCACGCGTAATTCTTTAGGATACATTTCTGGCAAAGGCTACTTTTATATTGGTGAGTATTTGAGCAATAAATTATTAATGTATCGTTCGATAATTGTATGTTATTGGTTATTGTTGTTCATGTATATTTAAAAATATAAACCTTATTAAATAATTTTTATAAATGCTTGTATTGTGCAAAGAAAAATGCTAAACGTAAACTGTGTAAACATGCATGAAAATAAGATAACCAATTGTTTAAATGATTACGCTAAACATTTCTCAGTGATGACGAAAAAGATGTCTGTAGCTGATTCCATCACTAAGAGAAAAAAGAAATCAGAACCGGAACAGAACTTATTCTTGATTTGGCATTTATAGGATACTGGCAGAATATCAACATAGAATTATTTATGCGCAATTAATTTTTATCGATATAAGCAGATGCGACTACACACATGGTATTATAAGCTAACCATTTGGCATATAATATACTCTTTTAAAATTAATCAATTAGTAAGCACTGGTCATTCCCGTTATAAATGAATTATCCACAATCAGTGAAATTCTACTAATTGAATTAATGAAATCGCCATACCTGATGATTGAATCAGTACCGTGAAAAGAATTGTTTTTTAAATTTTACTGCAATGCGGGTGTTTGATATGATTTTTACCTGTCATTATACGGATGACAACTAATATTAAAATAAAATTTAAAGAAATAGGCCCACGTGTGACTCATGATTGATTGGCGCACATATCCAATTTGGGCTGCCGTGAGTGGGGTTCGAAGTTATGATTCTCGGGATGCTCCGGGTGAAAAGTTTTGACATTCTACCCATTGAGCCACCAGTTCTATTTATAAATTTTATTTTGACTAAGAATTATAATCGTCAATATTTATGTATGTGAAAACATAATAAAGTTCAAAATTGCCATTGCCACAAGCAGTTGCACGAATACGTACACGTACAAGCACGACATACATATATCATCATATTTCTACAAGAAGCTATATCAATTCACTATTCCTTAGTATGATCAGTTAGTATCGTCAGCAGTAACTCACACACGAAGTAGCAATGCGACAAACCACTGATTTAGCAATGAAATAGACTTGAAATTACTATTTTTTCAGTGATTTTTCAAGCAACTGAAATAATCAGTAAAATATTCACTGATTCATTTTTAAAGGAGTATGAGGAGTATCATAATGGATCGCATAATTCTACTTTTTCAAATTATTGAAAAATAAGAAAAAGAAAACAAAATTTTCTTAATTTGTTAGAAATGTAAACGTTTATACTGTGCGATTCACTCACTTCTAGGTCTTCCATTTGATACCAGTCATTTCACCAGTTTAATTTTAAGCTTCTTCAAACTATAATTATAGAAAAACGTCTGTTTTTCACACGTGGAATTGTCCGCTTTTTTTTATATTCCTCATATTACATTATTACACATTTATTTCTACAGTAATTTGTAAGGTGTTGACGATTTGTTCAAATGCTTTGAAAATAGTATTAACATCTTTGTGAAATTGTAATGGCCATCATTAATTCATTTGAATTAACTTTTTAATATTTTACAAATATTGTGTGGAACTAGGCAAAATATATTAATTGCTATTTAAATTATTACTTCATATAATTATAGACAACTTATTATTACATATGATTAATGGTTTTTTTTTGTGTTTGAAAACAACATTAATCAAATATCTACATAAGATTTGTAAGGGGTGTCATACACGTATGTCCTTATGAATAAATTAGTTACAAAGTAATCAATAAATTAGGCCCACCCAAGAATGTAAAGTTAATTTATTGGTTACTATATTGCGTCATGTAATAACAGTCTATGAGGAAATTAAATAAACGGAAGCGGTACCGGTTTTCAAACGCTTATTAGTGTTTTACACGCTAATTAGTTCTGGTCCTTTGTAATGGAGTAGCAAACCAATTTATAATTGTTGTTACACGTGAACATAGCGTTGTGGTTATGCTATAAAACATGTATACTCGTACCTGCTCTATCCACTCTTGACAATAATACTGCTTCCTACATATGTTTTAACCCATACATTTTGATATGTGAAATCAACTAGCATCATTTTTCTTAACTTATTATCAGATTCGTGCTTTTCAATAAGTGAGTATATAAATATTTAGCCTGACATTTGATTGATCGATAACACGGTTTTTAAAATTGGAAAGCTAGGAAATTACATTCTTTTTTCATTTTGTAATGTGCTGTGCTACTTACTGAAGGAGGTTTTCCTGAGTAATCACAATTAGCCCTTCGATTTATAAGCTATACAGTCTCTTCATAAATTCTAGGAGAAGAAAACCTCTATCATTAACTATACAATCGAGCGACTTTTATGAATATACAGGGTGATGTCCTGAAGAGCTTCAGAGGAAAAGTGAGTTTAGATCACTAACGTATGGATTAAAATTCCCAGCAATAGTAATTAGGTGGTCACTGTATTCAGTTAATAACTTGTCGACTACTACCTCGAGCAACGCGAAGGTAGCAGCACGATTGATCAAATATAGATAAATTTTCTCAAAATGGTAAATTAGGATGAATATGATGGTCAACCCTTCCGATTATTAATCCAATCATCCTTATTATCAATTCATACCAGTACAATATAATCCACTATAACGAATGTAGAGCTACAAGCTCAACAATGAAATAGTCCTGTAAGAATGAGAATAGCTTTCATAATTTAATGCAGTGCTTGGGAAGCTTAGCTGCAAAGGTTTATGTACCCCGTATAAAAATATATTTTATGATGAATCTATTTGACTGACGTTATTTCTTTGAGGCGATAATCGTTTAGAACAGTTCCAAAGTCTGGATAAGTTCATGCGATGTTCATAATTTGAATTGGGTGAATGGTGAGCTAAAACGGCACAGGATCGGTCGACGCACATAGTATCGATGAATATCCCGTAATCATCTTTGCCCTGCAACTTCGAGAGGTAACAGTGTGTTGCGTGACCCCCTGAACTCCAAGCGTGGTACTCATGATCTACACAATTTGCTAAAGGGGGTAACGCGGGCCCCTAGGAGCTTTATGCCAACAGAAGAGCCCGTAAAATGGTTTTTCCTTTATAGATTTTCCAGCTCCTCTTTTTGAGTTCTCTAAAGGAAATCAAGTACCTTACCTCACAGTAATTCTCGTAAGCGATCATAGATACTTGCCCTCTGGTAGGCTTCGTCATTGATGTCAACTGCCGCTCTTTTACCTCTGCTAGTTCTACATCACTGATTGCAGCCGCTTTTCTACCCCCGAGTCTACAAGTGATAATCTAGTAGCTTTTATTACATTACCTTGTATTATTTTTTGTGTACATAGATGTAGTATTGGGAATGGGTCTTGAGATAATGGGTGTTAGGGGACACGTACGGGAAATGTCTTGTTTAAATCAATGTGTTTAGTTAAAGATAGAATTAAACGCAATGAAGATGACAGTGTATATACGATAGTCAGATTCAACGTGACATCAATTTCCAGATAGCCTTTGTGCCTTATGTTTAAAGTTTAGAGATAAGTATAATCGTCCTGGATGGGGAGAGTGAGGATAGTTCAGGATTGAATAGCGAAGGAGACAGACGTCTCGAGTACCCAGGTACGTAAAATTTAGCCGATAATAAATTCGTTTAATAGCTTCCATCCTACATCATTTCATAATTTACTGTTCCTGCTGTAATACGCACATAGATATTTGAATAAAATTCTGATCAAAGATCTTTGTGTACGTCAATGTCCAAACAGCAGCACGTACCAGGTCCGAAATTTCTCCTTCCTCGGGACCACCTTCTACGGGAGCTGCAGTACAGGGTGGCTGTACTATCCCTCCTCTTCGGGAACACGAAGCCAAGACCTCATCCGGTTCACGATCATCCGTCACCTTCACCTTCTCTCCAACTGTCTCGCAATTCCCAACTCGATGACCTCGCTGCACCGCCACATTGAGAAAAAGGGGGATCTGAGATGAACTCTCGGGCAGCTCGCTCAGAGATTTCCTGAACTGTTCCATTCCTTTTCTTCCGTTTTCCCATCTATTCTATCATAAGTTCTCCCGTTACGTTACCACAAGACTATCAGTCGCGTCTAATAAGACTGGCACTAGTTAATGTGATGTAATAATGTTTTTATATCCGTAAACCACGAAAGTCCATAGAAATTTATCACTGGCGAAGAAAATGAAGTAACGTTTTGTCCTGCTGTAACTAAACTCTAATCATTACTAACTAATGTAAAGAGGTCGTAAGTAGTCATTGAACGATCGTCAAACGTTGATTCCAGCCGAAAAGAAATGTCGGCCGTTATCGGATATTTGTGGACCAAAGAGAGTGCCGTATAAAATGACAATAAGGGAGTGCCATGCCACCGTATATACCGGGTGACATCAATAACATTCGTTACCCTAGCTACACTCTATAGGTATGCTAGATACGTTGGGTATATTCGCAATAGAGAATAGCGTTGCTGGCCTGTGGCCGGCACTGCTGTGCACAGCCCACTTTACGTAACTTATGTCGCCTTTGTTAGAGACGGCCCTGCCTTCCCACATCTATACATACTATATTTCATTCTCTACATGTATTTCTTTGTTCAACGAAACTACATACTCTTGTAGATTTTCACGATATAGTAATAATATAAAGATAGATAGTAGATTGTCCCGTCGCACGTAACAATTTCTGCCGGGCACTATTGGAAAATTACGCGCCTATAAAGTTACGTCTGCTACAGTCAGTATTGTTAATAATAATTGGCACAGTTTCGAATATATATTTCCACATGCACATGTTGTGATTATATACTATTATATGTTGTTAGAAAAAATGTGGATCCTCAAAATTCATCGTACTTCATTTATGATGAAATGTATAGTTACCCATTTTTTATTAAAACTAATAATTGGGACATCGTTATTTAACATTTATTAATTATGATTCTCAGTCTGTAATTATACGTAAAATTAACACATGGACTTTCTGACGTTCGTTTCAATATGAACTGTATTTTGCAAGATTTAAGGAGGTTCGTTGCACTCTCAGCGGAGGGAAGCTGGGGGAGGGTTTCAGCGGCGCACCAATCAGTGCCCCCACAAACCGCACTTTTTTTTCAACACCAATAAACTGCCGTTGTTGTCCGAATTTCTGATAACTATAGTTACTCGGCATAGACGTAATTCTTGATTTTTTACATTAGCCATCATGAATTTATAAAAAACAATCTGGATAGGTTTTTCGTGTAGGAACTATATTTGTAACTATTGACTTGCCTATGATATCAAAATCACTTTTCTAGCTGTTCTTGTCATGACTTGGGTGGGAACTGCCAGGACTGAATGATTGAAATAAGCTTGGTCCATCTTGGCCTGCAAAGCCTTGGTGCCTAAGCTTTCCTTCAAGTTTGGCCTTTAATGTAATGAGTCATTACATTATGGGAGGAGGCGCCTCATAGGAGTGATCGAAAGGTAAATCAATAGGGCATATTATTAGGAGGGACAGTGGGTTTCGTGACAAAGTCTTAACCACCCTGACTATGGCAATTCGTAGGTATCTGGTTCGTTTCTCGATCAAAATTTATAATTTTTCTAGAAATTCCTCGTCTTCCAGCGCTCCCTGACGGCTCAAATTATATGTAAGTTATAACATGAAGCTGCATGCAACTCTTCATTATTTAAATATTGATAATTATAATTCTTACTCGAGGTAAAATTTATGAATTGGACAGGCAGCTCAGTAGATAAAGTGTCACATTCTTCACTTCAAGCATCCCGGTTATCTTAGAGTCGACCCCACTCGCGGTAGTGCAGACAGATTATACCAACCATGACTACCCTATACACGTACCAAATTAAAAAAAAAAATTTAATATCACTATCGTCCACATAGTTTTTGGTAAAAATTAGTTCAAAAACTGAAATTACAATAATATTTACTAACACGTTTATTTCTGTAGTGATTTCGTTCTAAAGAGTATACTATAAAATATATTGAAATGTTCATTTACCCAAAACGCTAATGTTAATATTAAAAATTAAACAATTTACTAGAATAAGTTTCTCCGTAGCCCTGGCAGTTTGTTTGCCAAGGATTGAACCAAGTTCGCTCCGAGACTTGCTAGTTAAGCATGGGCCCCGGCCATTGTTCTGAGTTTAACGCAAGCTCGAATTCTAAGATTGGACCAAGCTCCGATACAAGTGGCATAAGCTTGGCTCAACCTTCAACCCACCCGCCCGCTTGTAAGATACCGAGGACAAGTCTAAAATATTTAAAAACACATATTACATCTCTTTCATTAGTGATCAATTTCCTCGATTATATGTAAAGTACCGAGGTAATTCGAAGCCAAGCCTCACATATTCTCATTAATTTTATCCATATATTTGAATACAATAAATAATAAAATTCAAACGATTCAAATCTCTATTGTGAACGAATTTTTTTGGGGGTTTTATACAACGTATAAGTTGCATTTATTAAAAAAAAAGTCATGTTATGTAATTTCTTACACACGTATCCGTCAACGTAAAATGTCTCTATGCGTTATCTCAACTGCAAAATAGAAAGAAAATGATACAAAAGAAAATTCTACCGCGTCTCAAGCGGGTCATCTGAGCCTTTTAAAACGGGAAAAAAATTCAAACCATTTCGTCGTGTCAATTCATACTCGATTTACGATTTCCTTTCTTTCCGTGGGCACGTGGAGACTGTTATTTTCCAATTCGAGAAGAGTTTAAAAATCGAACAGGTACCGGAGGGATTTTCTGCTATAAGAAGAAAGAAATAAGGGAAATGAACAATATACTATATGTATATACACTTATACATACAGATATATAACGTTGTTTTCCAAGGAATAGAATGTTCCCCGAGTCAGGAAAAGTGTGTCGTGAATTATAGGGTGGCTTCATGGAAAGGTTTATTCACCATTGCAGTTACTGTTACCTGTTATGTACAAATAGTCAGTCTACAAATAAGCTGTCTCTTACGGGACCATCTTTCTATAGCTTTTAATGTAAGAGAGTACCCTAGACCTTAAGATTTACTTTTAGATCGGCTCTTTTACCTTTCCGACCTTTTACGTTTTAGTTACCGTATATACCTCTTATCATAACCACCAGAATTACTTTACATATAGGTCGAAGAAAAGTCTTTCTTGTAATAGTTCACTTTTCTGTGCACAAATAGAATTGGGTGACCATAACTTCTGACGACTATATGATAGTTTACGATGAGAATCGGAAACCTTTGAAAGAATTATGTAATTACAGAATACGATGTTTGGAGAAGATCAGCTTAAATGACTTGGGAAAACACCCTTATTGTTTTATGTTCTCCCTTCGAAAGCATTTCAATTGTGTCTCGAACATTTTTCCGTATTTTCTCAACCAAGAAAGGACATTTGGGTTTGTCTTTTAATGCATATGAAAACTGAATCGAGTTAACTCGTTCTTCTAGTATAAATATATGTATACTAGCGTTGTTCGATAAAACTGACAATAGGCCATTAAAGGTACTGTAAAAAAAAAGAGTAGCAGTGGTGTAAGAAGAAGAATTAAAAGAAAAAGAGGGAAAGTCAATAATGTCAATAGAGAAGATGCGTCTAATACATAAGTGCATAAAGCAATCTCGTACCACTTATTAGGCATCGCGATCTCTTTTCAAAGCTGAATAGTCACCGGGGTTGCTGAGGTTGTGGGTAAGGTAGGGTAGCCCACTTCAGCGTTTTACATGACAATAGCTTTTATACTTTTTACCCGAGTCGACCCCACTTACTTTTATTCCCGGTTTAAGAATTAAATTAGCCGATACCCTCAGCGACTTGGTAGTAGCGATGGCGGTTGTGGTAGTGGTAGCAACCATAGTGACTATAAGATGAGTGAGACCAAGACTGGGGGCGAATACCTACGCGATCTCCCAATATCGCCGTAAGTCACGAACGAAAGACAAGCTTCTCAAGTGCCGAGAGAGGAGTAGCAAGCAGGATATTGAAATTTCCCTTGAAGGAAGTATTTTTCTTGTCCAATTTCTTATTTTCTATCTTTCTTCGTTCCGGCTAAAAATCTTAAAGGAACCGCCGACGCCGGTAATCCTGCTGAGTCTTTGTCAAAGACACTATCTCCCGGCTTCTTTGTTTCTTGTTAAAACTAAGATAGATGTCATTTTTTTTACGTATTTCTTAGTAGTGAAAAATACAATATTTATGGAATTTGTTATGTTTTCTAGATTGTAAATAGTCATTACTTGTCTGCGACTATCCATTCTATGTATTGAACACTTTGCTGTGAGACGGGATCGATCTAACGTGTGTAATAAATATATGATATGGCTCAAATATGGGCTATATCTATGATATATCAGAATCCACTTATTAAGTATCCCGTGTACAAATTTTTCGGGCAACGTCCAAAAAACCATATCGTGATTGCGGTGATTATGTAAAACTAATCCGGAGCTAATTAAGTCTTCACCAGGCTAAGAAAAATCATGGGTGTTTTTTAGGAATTTCGTATTAGTATTCAACTTGGTCCTAATAAGGAAAACCCCTAATCGGTAGTACTCAAAGATTCCCTAGTGTGGGCTAACCTTGTCAGGTCCTAAATAGACACAAGGCAGATCAGCTCAATTAGAGATTTTAGTTCAGCAACCACAGCCTTACATGCTTTAATCTTTTGTCTTTGATGGCTACATGTATTTTCTGCTATATAATAAGTATATTATTATAATAAATACGATCAATGCATGAAAAATTTTTTATATGATAACGTTACACGTTTAAATATGCTAATAGCGTAGCTATATTTCTTTCCCATATTCACTTTGTAATAGTAGTCGTACACTTGACATTCTTAAAGGAAATAAGTTTATTATAACAATATTTAGACATTTTATAAGCATTATACAATAATAATCTAACTTTAAAATGTTGTAATTCACATTTACGAAATTTTATAGGAGACGAAAAAAAACTTTATTTCCACAAATATTAATTGTTATAACTATTTTCATAAATTTCGAAACTGGTGGGCTGCTGGCTCAATCCCTAGAATCTCAAATTGCTCGTTCCGAGTATCCCGACAATTGCAAGTTCGAATCCTGGTTCCGGCAAGACAAATAGGTATATAAGTCCACGAAAGAGTGATACGTGTGCACATATGTATCCTTTTTTAAAGGGCCTTTACAAGTTTTTATTATATCTACAGTTTGCATTCAATTGAACAAAGATTTATTATTTCGGCTTATTTAAAATAGTAGAATTATTACATAAAAGAGGCTGACACTATAATCACTTGTCGCATTCAATAACTTTAAAACGTTATTGTATTACAGTTTTATGGCTATCCACGTTATTACTATTTAATATCACACATACTATACGAAGTTATTTGCAGGGATCAATGCAAAATTATTTGTAAATACCAATGCAAAACTGTCGAGAAAGGTTAGTGCTCTAAAGGGGCATTGCGAGACTTTTCGGAAAATGGCTGGAGGAAAAAAACGATTATTAGAAGGAATGTATCGCACTGAACGTTCGCCTCTCGGAAACGGAAACAGAAGGACATATATGGGTACGACGAGAGCGAGGAAGGAGTTGCTAAAGGTGGTAGAGAATGTTGACAATGGTGGGCTGAAGGGAGTGTTGTTTCTGTCTTGCAATAAGAGAAGAGGTCCCGGCCCCACAAATAGTCCAGAAAACTCTAATGAAGGCGTGCCAAGAGTTTATCTTAGGAGTTGGTCCTCGTCGTCGTCTTCCTGGTCCCCGGAGGGTGATGATTTCGAGCGGGCTGGATATCTCGTTGGCTCACGGCTGCTTTCTTCCAAATTGATTCGCTCGGATTTATCTACGTATTCTTCCCTTGGCAGCCATCGTGATGCTCATTTCTATCGTTATCCTAGCATTCGTTGTACAATCTTACTCTTGCTCCTTTCCACTTACATACTCAGCCTAATGTACTACTTAGTAATAACAGCGCATTTTAATTCACGCATCTCTAGCCTCTTGACGAATTATACGGATACACAGCTCAACAGTGGTATATTCCTATATCGCTGTAGGTTGAATTTGTCTTAGTTTAGACGATTTCAGGAAATTCCTGTATACAGGAATATCTATTATAGCAGATAATTTTTGAGAAAATTAGCACACATATAGAAGTATTGGGAATTATAGTAAAAGTATTCTAATTAATATTACTTATTCACTAGTAAGGTGACTGAGTATATTATGAAAATTGACACTGTAGAGTAGAATTATTTTGTTATAAATTCATATTTGCTCTAAATTCTACAAAGTATTTCGGAAAATAGGAAATCTGATTATTTAATAACGATTCCACTGTGATGGTACTTATAAACAATTGCTGTATATATATTTTTTTATTATAGTCCTGTTTCATGCCAAACCTAACAGACCAAGGGTTGATGATTTTTTACTTCGGCTTGATAATTTTTAGGTTTAAAAAGTAATTTGCCCTGTTACCTGAGCGACAAAAGTACCGTGCAGCGTTTAGAGGGGCTTGGATAGTTTGGAAGGATCGTCCATGGATACGGCCTTGGCAGTACCTTAGAGATTCTCTAGTATTCCAGATACAAGAGTTGTGTCGTTCTCCGGGGTAATTTGGGCACCGACAACTTCGACGTGCTCTACGAAATGCACTAGTGGGGAAATTTTTTTCATCAAAAAAAGGAATTTTGTCTATTGCGTTTTGGACGCACAGGTAGCTGGAAATATCATGAGTGATTGTAGTGCTTCCGGAGACGATGGCGGCCACTATGAGCCTTTTGTGCGGTTATTAGCTGGTGTAAGTGTGAAGGAAGATACTACGTGTAATGGCAGGTTAGTTGTAAGTAAGAAGTGTTGGATAGTGAAAGGAGCGGCGAGCGATATTTAGTAAGAATTTAGAGGTTGAATGTCTACAGTGGTAGAGATAGACAATCCCATCGCTGTCACAAATTGTTACGTGCCCAGCCTGAGAGGCAGTGCTTGGCAACTTTTGCTTGACACTTTGACCGGCAAAAATATCGTGCGGTGGTTCGATGATTTTTTCTTATCGTTCCTAAGATGCTAGAACTGAGGTTCTTGACCTATGAGAAGGTAAACAGCTGTTTGCTGTAGAGTCTAACATTCGCTAGATCGCGCGTGTCTGTTCTCCGGAGTCGCACGGCTTCTGCTTAATGGAAATGGGGCACATAAGGGTAATTATCATTACAGTCCATTTAACTCCTATCAGGAAGTAGGATCAAATAAATTAAGAAATTTTGACAAATCAACGCACGACTACCAGTTGTATGCGTAGATATCACAGCGAATGGGTCGACCTAATGCATATATCTTTGGCGAAGAGATGAAGTTCCGCGCTGCCTCCTAAGATACCTCGAGGGTCCACTGTCCCATTACTCTGTCTACTGATTCGTCCCAGAGGCTACTGTAAATGCGGTTTGATCTGTGGATTTGATGCGTTTCAGAGATGAAAGATAATTGTCAGTGGAGCAGGTCTCGCGATCTCAACCTAGAAACTTGGCTTCTTTTTATTGGTTGCTTATCCGTGTGACGAGATTCCAGTATTTCGGACGTTGCAGAATCTTAAGCCTTGGTAGTCACTGACAAGAACTACTGAGAAGTACTGAAAAAATCTACTAACAATTTTCAGTATTTAACTACTAGTAAACTATTTAATATTCATTGTTGCTAAACTGGCTTACTACTAGAAATTCTGAATAGTTAACTACTTGAGAGCTTCAGTAGATTTCAGTAGATCACTACTGACTAACAAAGATGGTTGTAAATATTGCATTAATATAAATGATTTGTGTGGTTTTTACCAGTAATTATATGTATAGATCAAATTTAAAATTTTTTCACACGTAATTCACACGTAAAATGTTTTCTGATATTATGACAGTTCATGTTTCATCTTCGCAGATATTTTAAAACTACACAAAATAAACAGTAACAGTTTTCTCTACCAACGAATCTTGGACGATCTTTATTTCAATTAATAGGAGTTAGCGTCAAGAATATATTTAAAATGTATTCAGCTTTATGCAGATGCACAAAAGTTTATATACACACGCGTTGGAGTACCAAGTATGATATCCTGAGGCTAAGTGGACACTTTGTTCATACCGTACTACGACCTGCAGTGGCACGCAGGGAGATTTAAATTTCTGCTAGTAACCAAGCGCGTTCTTGTGCTCGTTCTGAGGACTGAAAGTTAATATTTACAATTTCTTGTTTGTTGTTAATCAAACTTGGCTAGACTTA